ACACACACACACACACACACACACACACACACACACACACACACACATATGCCTATTCACATCAGTGGTCAATGTCACTATCTGCCTGAAAGCAAAAGTGTCTCTGGAATAAGATGGCCAAACCTGGAAAATGCTGCATTAGCCAGGGGTGGGGACGAGAACTAAGATCCTCCAAAAAGCCCACTTAGGAATGAATTTCCACAGGGTATCTAGGGTAGTTCATATTGAGTGTTCCACACACAGAATGTTATGATGAGAACCAAACATTGAGGTAACCTAGACAAACCACATCTGTAAGTACCTATGGAACGGTTCATGGATGCCCATGGCTACATGAATTGTAATAACACATGGGAGGTAAGCCCTGCAAGCTATCTGGTCCACTATGGTGTGTGTCCAGAGAGAGGAGCTCTGTGTTTGGAGACAAGGGTGGGCTCACTTCAGACACTCTAGTATGCATTTGCTTTTTTTTTTTTTAACAAAAGCAAACTTGAAAAAATGAAGATTACAGAAATTGTGCCAATACCCAAGCCAAGCTTGGCTTCCATTACAAAGATCTGCGGTGGGGGATGAGAGTAAGAAAGGGGCAGAAGAGAGATTCATGGTCCCAGCTGGGGTAAGGAAAAAGATGGCTGCTGAGAAGCTCATGACCCAAAGTCCAGGCCTTACTCCCTTCCACAACACAGAAGCGAGGAGGAAAGGAATGTGGCAGAGTGGGGGCTAGTCATGGCCAAGAACACATTCCCTGGGGGAATCAGAAAAGGTGGGCTGCACCAGGGGTTATTCGGCAGATGCACCAGGGGGTCTCAGAAAATATGGAATTCATCACGAGTCTTTGTGTCATCTTGCACAAAGGCCATGCTAATCTTCTCGTACTGTTGTAACTTTAGCGTGTGTGCAGCAGAAGCCAGAACCTCCGGTGGTATATTTTTGGTCCTCATGCCACATAAAAGAATGTACGCAGACTCTTGAGTCTGATGGAAAGATGGTGGTAATGTATATGCATGTACAAAGACAAGTCTGTAGGAACGAGCGTGTCACAGCAGGGCTATGCTGTGAGGGACGTTGACAAGTGAGCTGGACTTTTGTGTCCGCACACGTGGGTATGCAACCCACGCGCGCATGTGCGAAGAGGCCAGAGCTCAATCCCAAGTGTCATTCCTCAGAATCCATCTAACTCGTACAAGTTGGCCTGAAGCACCAAGTAGGCTGGACTGGCTGGTCATGGAGCACCAAGGCCCTTCTGTGTCTGCCTTCTGGTCCTGGGATTACAAGTGTATGACACCGTACCTGGGTTCTGGTGATCCAACTCAGGTACTCATACTTGCCCAGCAAATACTCTGCTGACTGAAGCATCTCCCCAGCCTACAAACTAATATTTAAAGTTATCTGTTTTTCAGTTACTTTAGATAACTGAAAAATGAGTATGAGTAGATAAGAAAAATGAGTGTTTTACATCCTAGGAGTTCATTCCAGGTCCTATGCCCCTCCCCTACACCTAGTCTACCAGGAATAAGCCTCAGATTCTTCCCTCTGCCCATTTAGTAAGTGGGCTTTGCAGGCACAACCTACCAGCCCCTTGTCACAGGGAGCCTCCAGACTGCCCCCAGTGTCCCACCTCTCCCACAACCAGCCCTAAGAAAGAGACAGTAGAGGCCTGGGGAAAACATCAGTCTCATGATTTATTACAACACATTGTTTCAAATACAAAAGGAGGGACAGGAAAGTGCGGCCTCATGGGGCAAGGTCCCAAGGGGGAAGCTGGCATCCTGGTCCTCAGGGACCAGAAGCCTTGGGCAAGGGACCAGCCACCTCTCCTGTACTGGACTTTCCAGAAAACAACAGGAGGGGGCCAGGTGCATTCTGGGCCATTCCAGTGCCGGCAGTGACCAGGTAGGAGGGGTGGGAGAGCAAGAGAGGACCCTATACCCTCCACACCTTGGACAGTGGGTAAAAAAGCCATCAGGGAAAGCCTGCGCTCCACCTCCAACACACAGGAGGGGGAACTGAGACCTTCTCCTCCATCTTGTCTGCTCACTTCGGGGAGACCAGGGTCATGAGTGAGTGAGAACAGAGACAGACTGAGGCTAATGGGCCCTATGTGTCCGGGATAGATGTCATATCTCCACCAAGAGAGGAGAGGGACCAGACCCAAGGGGGAGCTGTAGGGTCCAACTAGTGGCCCCATACCACTGTCTCCTGGACAGCAGTAAGGTGGGGGCATGGAGGGGGAAGCCAGTGCACCCTCCACACCCACAGTCACCTCAGAAATCCAATGACAGACAGGAGGCAGATTTACATAATTAATAATAATAATAATAATTAACCAATAATAATAAATACTTAAACCTCTAATCCATAGATTGCAAATACAACAATAGCTTATTTTCTCAGGGATCAGGAGAACTGGGACAGGACTTTTGCTGAAGGAGGAGGGTGACAGGAACATAGGGCAGTAGGCCAAAAGAAGAACAGACAGAAGGACACAGCAAGAGAGGTGGGGTAGAAGGATGCCACCCTAGGTTTTTTCCAAGACTCTATCCTGCCCCAGCCACCTGTTAACAAACCCCTGGCTTCTTCCTCAAAGGACAGCCCGGCTCCTAGACTTGAGGACATCTGAGGGCTTATTCTGCCTCAAATGAGTCCCAAAGGGTCCGAGAGGATACTCAACAAGGGTGGCTGGTACTTTTCTATCCTTGCTCCTAGACTGGCTCAGAGCCACAACAAAGACAAAACAAAACAAAAGAAAAAAAGCCACCTTGGGTGGAGTCTAGCATATCATCTTGAAGACAGTGGGAAAGTACCCTGGGAAGGGAGCATACAGAGGGACTCTCTCCTCAGAGCCCCTGTGGACAGTCATGAGGGACTTCCCCAGCATCTGTGGTTAGGTGGGGTCTTTCTCTGCTTGGAGACAGTTCTCCCGAAGCTGAGATCCCCACTTCCTGGAAGCCTAAGGGCTTGGTAGGTGCTTTACTCCATCTGCAAGAAGGCCTGCTTCAGAGGTCCCTCAACCTGCAGGTGCACCTGAATTCCAAGTCCTCCCTGGAACAGGAACAGCCCAGAATGAGAGCTTGGATCTACTCCCGTTCATACTGGACCCAGAGCTCCCCTCTGACCAGCAGAGATAGCCCTTGCCAGCCCCAGAGAACTAACTCCAGCTGGCATTGGACACAGCCCCCGTCCATCATGCTTGGGGAGTCTACTGGGCTTCCCAATGGGCAGGGGCACCTGCAAAGGAAAGAGAGAAGCCTCCTCTGAATGGCCTCCTGGGCCCTTCTAAGGAACTGGACCTCACTCTCACGGGAGTGTGAGTCCTCCTCCTCCATCCTTGCTTGAGCCTCATCTGGCTTTAAGGAACCCCCTAGTCCAAGTCTCCCTGAAAACTCTGGTCCATTGGGCCCAGTGCCCACCAACACCTGCCAGGAAACAACTCTGGGGCAAAGGGCAAAGAGGGCATCCCTATGCCACTAAGACTTGGCAACTTGAGGTGTGGGGGCACTGCTGGTGGGTCCTTGTGCAGGGACACTAGCGTCTCCCCCTCCCCTTCCCTATGGCTTTGCTGCAGAGCCCAAGATAGGAGAGACAGGAGAGGAGAGACCAGGAGAGGAGGGAAAGGAAAGGGCAAGGGGTCTGCGGCTCAGTTTGTGGCAAATAAGGGTTTGGGTTTTGTTGTTTTCATTTTCCCCCTTTTTCTTATGTAAAAAGTGCAGGAAAGCTGGGCAGCTCTTTGCAAGGTCAGTAATGTTTCCAGAGGGAAGGGGCGAAGAGGGGTCCAGGCCTGTCAACCCAACTTGGGATTGAAGGTGGCCTCATATTGCTTAGAAACCTGTTTTAGTTTAAATACCAGACAGTAAAAACAGAGCTTTAGGGCTGCCCTACACAGTTGCCAGATCACTAGCTTAAATAAATAAAAAAATCGAAATATTTACTTCTTGATAAAAATTGCAGTAAAACCATTTACCGTTCTGTGTGTGTTATATATAATATATATTTATACCTGGCCTGGCTGGAGCAGGGGCGCAGGGACTCCTGAAGGGTCACGATACTTCGATGACCTCTACACTGCCGGAGAAGCTGGCTTGCTTGCCCAGGGCTGCCAGCTCCTCGCCACGTGCCCGCCCCTCCACCATGCCCTCTTCGAACTCCATCTGGCAGCTGCGCCTCTTGAACTGTGTATCTGCAGCAGGCTCCTCGGGCCAGCCGGTCCGCACATCCCGAGGTTCTGCCCGCATCTCCCGCCGCCGCAGGTCGCTGCTGCTGCTGCTGCTGCTGCTGCTGTTACTGCTACTGCTGCTGCCACCGGGTCCAGGTGCGCCTGCGCTCGCCCGGCCGAAGGCGGAAAACAGGACTCCTGGACCCTGCGCACCCTCGGGGCTGAAGCACCAGGGTCCGTCGGGGGACGGTGTGCCAGGGGAGTCCAGCGGCGGCGCCCAGCCCCCGGGGCCAGCCGGTTGGCCAGGGCCTGGCAGCCCGGGCGCCGATAGGGCCGAGAGGCCGTGCCTCGGAGTCTGCCGGGCCGTGTCTCCAAAGTTCAGACCCAGGCCATGTGCGGGGGAGCGGGCGGGAGAACTGGCCGGGGGACGTCGCCGGCGGGGTCGTGGACGACCCTCTGGAGCGGAGTCCGGGCTGTCTGGGCTGGGCGAGGGCAGGCCCACCGTGCCCCCAGACGGGCTGTCCAGCTTGCAGAGCTTCGGGGCTTCGCCGGGGTCAGGTGGGCCGGGAAAATCGGGCCTCCTGCTGGGTGCATAGGCCGACTTGATGTCCAGGGAGAAGGAGCGCTTGAGGCGGTTGGTGTCCTGGAGGCGGTCTGAGGAGAGGTGCAGGCCACGAAGGCCCTGCTGCAGTGCGCTGGTGGCTGGAGCTGTGCTGGGGATTAGAGCATCCGCTCCAGCGCCCGGGCTGCCCTCCTTGGCTGCGGCGGCGGCTGCCTCGCTTCCAGTGGCAGCGCTCTCTGAGGTAGATGGTGGCAGCCGGGGCAGTGGGACACCTGCTGCCGGGCCCATGAGGGGCTCAGGGGTCCCCAAGTGAGGGCCATCACTCTGCAGGGCAGCCAGTAGCTTCAGACTCCTCTCGTACTCCAGCAACTGGCCCAGGAAGTTGAAATTGGGCGAGATGGAGGGGCGGCGGTCCTTCACAAACCTAAGCAAGTAAGAGGCATCTCTGTTAGAACAGGCTTATCCCTGACTTTCCTCCCGGGCGGCACCCAATGCCATCTTTAAGTCCCTAAGCTCTGTGTTGGGCTCAGGCTTTCCCTCTCTGCCAGGGCAGTAATTTGTACAACCCAAGTAGGCGGAGAGAGCAATGGAGGGCAATGCTGTTAGCCATTGGTTGTGGAGTTCCAGGTCCCTAGGGCCCAAGAGGGAAAGAGTACCTGTATGCGTCGTCAGAAGACATGCCCATGGTTTTCATGATGTAGGCGATGGCGATGGTGGCAGAGCGGGAGATGCCAGCCAGACAGTGAACAATGACTTGGCAGCTGGACAGCTTAGCTTTATCTGGAGGCAGGTGGATGGTAGAGAATCAGGTAAGGGCTGAGAATGTACTGTTCCTCCCTACCCAGCCCTCCATATGGCAGACTGACTCCTCACAGCTGGGCTACCCCAGGGGCAGTCCTCCCTTCCGCCTCTGTCCAGGCTTCCTCTAGCCAGCCTCCCACACTCTATAAAGACAGACAAATGCTCCCCTTCCCTCACCAATAAACTCAATGGACTTGTCCAGCCAGGGTAGCAGCTTTTCACAGTAGTTGTCATTGATGGGGATACGCATGAAACGGCTCTCACAGATGAAGTCCGGTTTAGGGCAGGAGTTGCTGGCATTGAGGACATAGCTTATTCCATTTTGGGTCATCAGATCCTGGCAGGGATAGGAAGATGGGTCAGAACAGGGTGGCAGAGAAAAGCAAAGGCCACTAGAG